GTGGAGGACCCCACCTCGGGGCAGGTGGAGGCCCCTGAAGGAGGTGCAAAGCCCCCGTGGGAAGCCCACGCTGGAGCAGGCCCCTGGCAGGACCTGTGGCCCCATGGAGAAAGGAGCCCACACCAGAGCAGGTTTGCTGGCAGGACTTGTGACCCCGTGGGGGACCCACACTGGAGCAGTCTGCTCCTGAAGGTCTGCACCCCGTGGAAGAGACCACGCTGGAGCAGTTGGTGAAGGACTGCAGCCTGTGGGAAGGACTCACATTGGAGAAGTTGGGGGAGGACTGTCTCCCGTGGGAGGGGCCCCAGGCTGGAGCAGGGCAGAGTGTGAGGAGTCCTCCCCCTGAGGAGGAAGGAGCGGCAGAGACACCGTGTGATGAACTGACCACAACTCCCATTCCTCATCCCCCTGTGCCTCTGGGGGAGGAGGGAGAGAAATGGGGAGTGAAGTTGAGCCTGGGAAGAAGGGAGGGGTGGGGGGAAGGGGTTTAAAATTTGGGTTTAGTTCTCATTATCCAACTCTGATTTGATTGGTAATAAATTAATTTTCCCCGAGTTGAGTCTGTTTTGCCCATGATGGTGATTGCCGAGTGATCTCCCTGTCCTCATCTCGACTCACGAGCCTCTCGTCGTGTTTTCTCTCCCCTGTGCAGCTGAGGAGGGGGGTGACAGATCGGCTTTGGGGGCACCTGGTGTCCAGCCAGGGGCAACCCACCCCACAGCACCAGAAACCCAGCCTACTGATCCTAGATGATAAATTTGGGGGAAAAAATCTGGGATATTAAGAGGACATGCTGTGCTTTTCCTCTGGAAATCATTTAAAAAGATGCAACCCAAACTTCTGACAATTTAACATTCATAATAAAAAGTAACTCCAGTCAGTCATTAAACCTCAAAAGGATCCCTGAATTGTGCTTTTCTTAATGAATTCAATAATCGATTCTTACTACACAAATAAGGTGTGGGATGGATCAGCTAATAAGCATTCTCAGTTAATTGCTTTCCTCGAATGACAATTTGTACAAATGATACCATCAAAGTAGTAATAATATCCTTATTGATTAAATTAATCTCTAAAAGACAACTCAAGTTTAATTAGCAATGCATGACAGAAACACAAAATACTCCAAAAACAACCTTGTAACCCATCCCAGACTTAGAAATCATGGCAACTGTCATGCAGTAGACTTTTGCATCTCTATTCAAATAGACACGCGCAATTTTATGGAGCATCTTTGGCAAATGTCCGTGACTATCCACAAAAGCCCATGAGGCCCGCCCTGCAGAGAAAAAACGAGACACGCAGCTAAACCAGTCTTCCCACTTAGTTACACAGTCACTAAGAGCCAGGGCCACAAACAGTTTTAAAATAAAATAAAAATTTTCAACGGAAGGAGCAGAGACGGTCAGAGAAGCAGCCGCGCCAAAATTCACACGTGGAGCTGGTGGGGACCCAGACAGCGCCCACACTTTCAAGCCGTGGAAACCTGGGAGCTTGGAGCAATACTCGCTCTCCCTATTCCTGCAGCAAGCCTGAGCCCAGGGAAGGGATGTCCCCACACACCCCAGCTCCAGCGGCTTCACCAGCACCGTCTGGTCACCAGCCGGGCACAAGGATGAGGTTTCCACCCCGGTCTGCCAGGGGGAGTTAATGCAGGGACAGACCAAAGCTTTGGTCCTCGTGGCTGACAAGACAGTAAGAAAGTCCTGGCGCTATTATAATTTGATAGCAAGGCACTCTTTGGGGGGGTCGGGGAGAGAAGAAAAAAAAAAGCACGTTGAAAACCTCTCCGTTGAAATATTAGCTTAAACTGCTTTGCTTAGCAAACACTTCTCTGCTTTCTGCCAAGAAAAAGGGAATTAGACTCAATTCTGCCTGGGGAAGTGAAGTAGTGGACATCAGGGACAAGAGGAGTGAATAAGCACAACCTTCTGGAGACACTCCAGCGCGATAAAAGAAAACACAGTAACACAGAGAACAGCATGTTCCCCTTGTCAGGGCCAAAGCCACCCCGCAAGCAGAACAGGAATTTGCCTGGGGCAGCAACATACTTAATGGCTTTATTATTATTATCTGAGCGATCCGAGGATGCTTCGCAGCACGTACGGGAGAGCAGCGAGCCCAGAGCCACCTTTGTGAACGTGAGTAACGGGGGGTTTGGGTTTTTAAGTGGCTCATGCAGGAGCTTTCTCGTTTAGCTAACTGAATTCAGCCACCGAAAGAAACATATGGCCTGTCTCTTCCACCGCACGTAGGTACAGTACAGCTTATTTTAGAATATTTGAAGCATATTAATAAAACCAGAGTCTTGTAGAGTATATGGTCTTCACCCTTCTAGGTTAGGACAGCCCATCCTTCTCAATTATTTATTTCATTTCATTATTCAGATTACTTGCATTTAATTTTACCATAATACAGTTAGCTTGTGCTTTTGCCTGAAACTGTAATTTTTCCATGTCCTCACAGCCTCAATAGGTTTATTAGCTCATTTTTGTTCTTTGAGCGCTTTTGGTAATACAAGCATATAATGTTTAAAAAATGCTACACGATTCTCAGAAAGATGATGTAATTTGCACCAGCATCAAAAGAAAAAGAAGTACTTTCTGTATTTATTTTCATCCAAGAATCACTGAAACAAATAAGAAACCACCAAATTACTTTTCTGACTACAGACACCCACTTATCAGGCAAAACGGCCAAACACCCTCAAAAAGCCTACTAATTTTCCATTAGAGTTGATCCTTTAAAACCATTTTATGAACAAAGAGTCCTACATAACCGGTAAAGTCATATGGCTGCCACGGAGCCCAGCCGCGGCAGGTTGGAGGCACGCGCAGAAGGGCTGGCAACCTCTGTACGTCAGGACTACTCCAAACAGAGAGATCCGTCTGAGAGCTGCCATCTGCCGCAATGCGTATCGAGACTCCTTACGCACCCAACCACTAGCCTTGGATAAACTATTTGCAACTGAAATCTTACTATGAAGTGGAACTCAAATATCTGGCGAGCGCCGACACGCCACGTCCAGGACCTCTCTCCGTGTGAGCTACCTGACCTGCATACACAACAGCCAACGAATATTAAACGATGTGCCATCAGCTCTTGGTCACTAAATACGACACTTGCACAGAGACTCATTTTTGGAGCTCGGGAATCTTTGAAAATCTACTTCCTACGTAGTCCTAAAAGATGGACATCCTAAATATTTTGGCTCTCAAAACCACTGATATTTTTAAAAGCTTGACCAGAACACACAGCATATGAGTGCAAGCAGCAGGGAAACATATGGGTTGGAAAAGCAAGCCTGGGAAAGTCACTTGGGGAAGAGGGGGATTATTATTTTCCAAAAGATGTTTGTTAGCTTCAGAAAGAAGAGTTCAGCATGTGAAAAAGAGGACATATGCTCATCACTTGTCCCTGAGACATCCATCTTATTTTTCCAGTTAAGAAGCCAATCTTCGATGAAATCCCCCCAAGACCTAGCAGATAAGTTGAATTACTAATTGTGAAAAGACTACTTTCACAATGATATTATGAAAAAATCCCATCAACAAACAAATAAGGATAGCCACAAGAGAAGCTTGCTTTACAGTGGGATCTCTCTAGACTCAAGAAGCGAGCTGCATGATGATGTGCAATAATTACTTCAAATGGAGAAGAGCTATGTGGCGCATTTAAAGCCTTTAATTTCTATTCCCTTGTTTAAGTGAGATTATTGCTCCCCGTAGCCAATAACAATAGATTTCTTAAGTTTCTTCTGATTTACCAGCAAAGCAAATATCCTCTGGTAAATCTACGAACTGAACAATGATTTTTCATTTTTACAACAGCACAGTCAATTCAATTTTCCAGTTATAAGTCTCAAGCCTCTCCCTATCAGCTTGTTAACGTACAAATGCTGTACTCTCAAACACGCCTGGAAGAATCTCCATAGACTTTGCCATCCCAAGTTGCTTCTGAACATTGAATTCGTTGCTTATGAATCACTTCATTGTATGTAAACACTTGAATCACTAAGCCACATCTAATATTGTACATAGTAATCAAGGGATGCTGTCACAGTGGATTCCGTAACGACAAACGCCTGTGCGGATGCACTGAGGCAGCTCTAAACCCACGGCTATTAGGGTTTCACTTTTAAAAGCAGTTTTTGCGAACATATTTTATTTGCAGACGCTAAATGCCCGTAAAATACTTTCTTCTTAAGATACTCACAGGAGTCCCACCTGCCTCCCTAAGGACTGCTCACATGACGAAAGCGGCACTGTATTTTTTTTGGTATTTAAGATACCTATAATTTACAGTAACAGTGTGATGTGACCAGGGCCTGTATACGTTGGCACGGCATTTCATATCAGTAGGTTTGTGCATCAGGTCAGACAGATAAGCGTCCAGGAAAGAAAAAATTGCACTCACCCCTAAAAGCAAATAATTCTCCCCCTTAAAATTAAATTAAAATGCTATAAAACACATTAATGCTCAATTCCCCTGAAGCATTCTAATAACTGTTTATGTTAACTCGTTAAAGTGTTGCTTTGGGTTCCTTAAATACCGTTAGGTGCAATTTTTCTCACGAATGTGTCACAAACCTTGATGCCGAGCTCTATGTTCTCCCCTCCGTACACATCCATCCCAGGATCAAGAAGCCCAATCTCTCCAAAGAACTTTCTGTGCACAACAAATGAGCAACCGATCATCGCTGGCGTCCTGTACAAACAGAAAAACAACACAAATGCACAATTATTGACATTTTCCAATCTTTAATGGACCAAGGGCTGATTTCTGCAAAGCTCCCGTTGGCTTCAGATGCCTCCTGCCATCAGTTATCCCAGAGCCATCGCAGACAGAGTGAGCTCTGTGCCTCTGAAGACATTATTTTACCACTGCAATGAAATTGTCCAAAGTTCAGGTTCATTTCACTGTGTATAGACTGGAGAAAGAGTTCTCCTGGGATTCAATTACTGAAAAGCTTTCAGGTCTTGGCTCCGTCTCAAACACCTTGGTGTGTCTACAGGCAAGGGCACAACTTCTTTGGGTTTCCATTCCTCCTAAGTGAAAGAAATATAACAATGGCGTTTCCTTTCTCTTACTTTCTTCTAGCACGTCTAGTAATAGCGTAGACTTCAGGACAGACACTAGCTTTTACAGTGCCTCGTGAAACGGCGTTTCCGATTGGGATCTTCATAATATCTCACAAAGGAGTCCTCACGAACCGGTGACAAGAAGCTAAATTGCAAATTTGCAGAAGCAAATCCTTTAAAAACCTCAGGACAACTGTTTGCAGAAACATCTGCTGTGTCATTCGCCCAGTTCCACCAGTACAGACAGGGCTCTGGGTTAGAGATCAAGTTGTCACGTTCACCCTGCGAAACCTCGAGCAGCCAAGCACAGCGTCCGGTCAGGGAAAACAACAGAGAAAAATGAGAGCAGTACTAACACTACTGACATCAATAGAATAGAGGAAAGACTGAGGAAAAACTCAGTGTCAGGGGTTAATTTATAATAACTATGCAATTTCAAGGATGTAATAGATGGTTGTGTTTGCTAACGACGCTGGCTGCCACATGCACACGCACCGTCCCTCCTTCGTTACCTTGCAAAACACGGGACCAGATCTCCCTCTGATAGAGCTTCCCTGAGATGAGGATGCTGCTCTGATTCGTGCAAGCCGAGATCACGTTGGAGGGTATTTTTTGAGCGGTTAAACGCTTGTGACCCTCTCCATAAAATTACACTTTGCCACAGAGCATGGCACTGAACAAAACCGTATCATTATGCTCTTGCTGCTTGGGGATACACTAATCTGTTGCGGTTATGGTATGTGGAAAGTTTACCCCCTGGGTTTTTTCTGTACTGAAATAGAAATATAAAAACTGTTCTCCCCTTTAACTTGCTTTCATTTGAATCCATGCTGTAAAGAAAAAAAAAAACAAACAAGGAACCACTTAGGGGACTCCGCAGGGAGGAGACAATGAATTTTACAGCTAAGCCATGCCAAGGTACTGCCAGGGTCTGCTCTTATGGGGAGGTGCGGGACGCCCCCCGCCCCCCCCGAGCTCCCCACCTTGGGGGAAGCTCCACCACGCTGGATGGGATGGCCATCACCTCTGCAGCTCCTCGCCTGGGCATAGGGGACACTTGCTTGTGCTGCCTGGAGAAGACTTGCAGGGCGCAACGGCAATGGTAGCCCGTGGAAACCTCACACCACTCAGAAACACCCGTTCTCCAGAGGGAACCTGCTCTGGAGGTAGGAATGGGCAATGGGATCACGTATTTTAATGCAGCCCCAGAGTCCCGGCTCAAAGCACGTTTCAACGCATGTCCGTGCTGTGGAGCACGTTCAAGGCTGAACTAAGCAGTTACGGCTCGCAGAGGAGGAATGCACCCTCGAATATACCCCGACGCAGCTTACAGATCCAGATCCTCGCAGACAGCGAGGATCAGGCCCGTGCTCAACCTCTCATCCCCACCGCACAAACTGCCCGTCTCTGCCCGTCGAGCATCTGGGGTCCCCGGTGCTCCCCAGGCAGCAGAGGGCTCAGTAACCCCCCCAGGACCTTACAGCTCGGCTCTGCCAACAGCCGCCCAAATTAATCTCTGTGAAACCCTTGAGCTCCTTGGATGAAGAGTTCTAGCCACTTAAGTATTATTATTTATAGACATTTTAATACTTTTAATAGACTGGTAGAACAGCTGACTGCTGCTGCCATATTAAATTAGTAACAATTGGAATCCATCAGAGGATTTTTTCAATAGATTTCTTCCCTGACAGCCAGCTCAGCCTTCCTTCCAATAAGCAGGATAATGTTTCATGGTTTGCTGCCACTCTAGTACTTAAGATTTCAATTCTATTGCTTTATTTGTAGCAAGTTAACTGCCATTAGCAGAAACAATTCTTTCTGAAATGATAACCACCTTAGAGATGCCAAATCTAATAGCTCCACTATCCTAGAATACCTCCTGGAATTAAATAGAAGGGTAAGTTGCTCCGGTTTTACACGGAGCATGAACAACCCAGTTCATCTCCTCCACTGGGAACTGGTGTGGGGGAGCATGGGAACCTCTGACTTCTCCAGTCAAAACCTGTTAGATCTGTTAAAGGCACTCAGAGACCAGCTAAAGCCAGAAAAAAAAATCAGGGAAAAGTTTCAGACACATGAAACTGCATTTCTGATCCAGCAACGTGGAGGACTGGGAACTCACCACCAGCAACGCAAGGTTTTCTGAACTGGAAGCCGCTCAACAGCCATGCACCGGGAGTTGTACCCCAAGAAAGCTTTTTTGATTGTTATTTTGCAGCGTGACTTCACTTTCTAGACCACAGAGTCACCGATCCTTTCCAAAAAGCTCTTGGAAACAGCCTGATGGGGATTTTGTAACTTCACCTTCAAATTTTCCTCTTCCCCGTTTTGCTGCACATTCTGGTTCCAGCGCGCGATACGGTGAAGCATGCAAAGCAGCGCTCCCGAGCGGGTCTGAGGTCCCTCAAGCAATACAAATTAAGTGCTACATTCTTCTTGGTAACAATGCCTCCATATTAAATAAATGAGGAATCAAGCGGCGCTCAACAATTTAAATAAAAACACCATTTGATTTTGTAGTAAATCCTTCAAAAAGGTGGACGTTTACAATAATAGATAGCCCATCCACAATGAAATAATGGCCTGCAGACAAAGCGCTGATAAAGCCTCTTGTTCCTCTGCCCCTTAATTAAAAGCATTAACACAGTTTGTTTTTAAAAATCACACAGCTCAGCTCAGCTAAATGCATTTTTATTTGTCCCGATAGCTATTCTTTCTTTAATGAGAAAGGAAAAGCGGAATTTGGCAGAAAAGAATGAACAGAGATGTTTAGCAGAATTATTGGGTTTGTATCCAGAAATCCACAGCCTTAGTTCCTCGCCATTATTTCCGTTGGCTCCTCTATACAACAAGTGACGAAAGGTCAAGAAGAGCAGCTTTTATGAAATATCCTCAGCATGAATCTCTAAATAAAGATGAAGAAGATACAGGGAAAAGCGTTTATCCTAGTCTATTAAGTTACTTTAATGGTCTTCCTTTCTTTAGTGCACAGTTACCATCTAATGATTAAAAAGTCTCAAGTAAATTGCTTCTTCAATTCCAGGAAATTAATTTTCCTACACAATTGGATTTTGCTTCCAATTTTATACTAAAGTGCAAGTTATAAAATATGTAGAAAAAAAGATATTAAAAAAATAATTAGCGGTCATACTGCTGAGCGCGGGAAGGCTGCGAATATACTTTAAGAACTGCTGGGGTGTCCAGTTTCCATTAAACCGCTGTTGTTTTTAATAAACTTCAATCACGGAGTTGCTCTACCTTCAACAGCACGTTCCCACTGCTGTAGGAGCCACAGGACTACACTGAGCACACCTGGGATGGTCCTTACCTGCCCAGAAAGGGGTTATTCGTCCCTCTCCCAAATTTGCCGTTCCGAATTTAACACACCAAACTCAAACATCTTCTTTTCCACTTTGACATTTCAGACTTGTCCAAAACACGCACAATTTCCCACTTCTGCTGCCCGTCTGCACCTCCGTGGTACAGCTGGGGGTCACCGGGGGGAGCAGGAAACACTGGGAAACTCTGAGCTTTATCCTCTAAATTTACCAAACTCAGAATATGTCGAAAATTTCAGGTCAACTATTGAATTTAGTCAAATTAAATGTGTGGATTTAAATAGTGGTCTAGCAATTATTTCCCTAACTATGCCAGGGTCAGGGAGAACATCATCGTTATTTTTACATGGCACTCTGTGATAAAACACTTGATTTTCTTTTGGCCAGAGACGAAATTAAGGACTCAAATTTGCAAACAGAAACAGCCATCAGTGCCGTCACCTCTGTGCTTCTCCATTTGTGGCACAATGAACATATTGCAGAATAAATAAAGACCGGGATGTGTAACACAGGTTTATAGCAAGAGAATACGTGTGTGGAAATTAAATACAAGCATGTGGCACCTGGGATTGACCCCTCTGGTCTTAAGATGGGGTTAACCAGACCCGGCCATGGGCAGTAGACCTCCATGGGGCAGAGACCATGCAAACTCCTTTGCTCCACTGGCAACAAGCTGTGTCCCGCGGGCTCGGGGACCCCTTGGGCTCATGAAGGGACTCCGGGCTGGAGCCGTCCTGCTCCGGCTGCCTGCCTGGCCAGAAGAACCAAATTAATTACAAATTTGGAAAACAACAAGCCCGTTTTTCAATTGTACTTGGCTTGGTGACCATCTGCATCCTTGGGAACTGCCCTCTGGAGCCTGACCGGGCCAGTGGAGTTCAGGTTCAGGCAGAGTCCAGAGCTGGAAGAGACCCTGTTCTTTGAAACGAGATTACGCCGGGGCAGGACAACTCTCCGTGCAGGGGAATGGGGCCAGGCAGGGTGAGCCAAGGCCAAAGGCACACCTGGCCCTGCCCGCCTCGCCTGGAGTCTTCATCAGCCCTACCCCACCGCCGCTTTGCTGCCCTTCCTCTGTCCTCGGTGTTCGGCCAATCCAGGAGGCACCAGTGAGGGTGAGGATGAGGATGAAGATGAGGACAAGATGAGGACAGGATGAGGAGAAGGATGAGGCAGCACCATTCCGCCCAGTCCCGGCAGCCCTCCTTCCCCACAAGCTCTTCAGGCGCAACGGCAAACGCATGGTGCCCCATCCCAGCTTCTCCCGAAAGCAAACATGCAGGGCAGAGAG